AGCTTCGTATGGAGGTAATTATATACGGAGGCGTAATAGATTACGAGTACAAGATCTCACAATTGTAAAAATGTAAGGCATACTTCCCGATGTAGTGGAAATGAGATACTTATTATAGCGTTGTTGTATCTCAACCATATCTGTTAGATTCCATTTTCTTGAAAGCTATGCCAAAGAGAAGTATTTAGGAGGAAAAAAATGCCAAACTACTGCCGAATTTCCTGTACTGTGAATACCAAAACAACGATAGTCCAGAATACTCAGAAAAAAGAACTTAAAAATGTTCGTTTCTTAAATTGGCCCAAATCAGGAATCGAACTCCTCATCAAAAGCCCATAGTACTAACTGCTGTGCCATATGTGCATAGTACTAACGAGTCCGACCCCAATGTAGGTGGGGTACAGGGCTCGTATTTTATATAGCAACGTCTTGTGACAAAATTTATCGAAGGCTTGCTGTATGTCAAGAAAAGCCGATGAGAAGTATTCTCTTTTTTCGTATGACTTTCTGATTGCTCTGCATACTTTATGGGCTTGCTCTACGGTTTAGTGTTCTTTATCGAAATTGGTGGTCAGGGACGAATTGTGGAGAGGTGGAGGGAATTTTATTTAAATACATTTGTCAGTCTATATAGTACACACCTCTGAAACTGCTTGGACATAGTAGGCAGTAGGCTGATCGGTCTATATGGAGTAACTTCGTGAAGGGATTTACCTGGTTTATGAACCATTATTATTTGGGAAACCTTCCAAATATCTGGAAAACGTCCTACTCTCATGATTGCATTGAATAGCATTGTGAGGTATACTAATGCTTTGCGCGGCAATTCTCCAAGGAAGCAAGCTGCTGGCAGCAGATGGATGCGACAAGCCGAGGACCGGGCGAATTGGCGCACATTGGGAGAGGCCTATATACAGCAGTGGACTGCGGTAGGCTGATGATGATGATGACGAAGAATGATTTCTGTGGCTTGGTATGTACAAGAGCGCGTAAATAATATGGACTTAGGCACTCCCATAGATATAGGAAAAAAGGGACTCCTTGTACAAAGGCAAATATACAGCGTGTCCCAGAATTCAACGATAAGCGTCGCACATAGGGGAAAAATGACGATTTAGGCGGTCAAAATTATTTCTTTGTATTTTTGCGTTCTGGTGGTCAAAATAGTTTAATATATTAACTTTTGTAATTTGTCCAAGTAGAAACTAGGTGTATAAGGCATTAAATAAAACGAAACAACCAAATTCTTAAACAGAATTTATTGTACTTAAAAAACAAGACTTATAATCAAAATTTGAACTAGGATGACGATGAAATCCAAGGTTCATCATCAGAAAATACTTCCTCAGTTTCCTCTGCAGAACTTTCTGATGTTTCGGTTTCGGAGGTACTATGGTATGGCTCTGCAGGAATCATCATATCTAATGCTTCTTTGCTAAAAACAGAACGTATTTTTTTTGTGTTGGCCTGATACTCGTTATTAGAGGATCTGAACTTAACAAAAGTCTGTTTAAAACATCCATGTTACATGCTTCTCTTGAAAATTTTCTGGTGAAATTCTGTCGGTATTGACGAAAATGTTTATTTCGAGCTTCTGCCGCCTCTTCTGATAAAAGACCGATAGGTAACAAGGCTTTTTCGATCACAGTGGCACCGTGAATTAGAATCTTATGCAATGTTGGCGTCATAGGATGCCACGAATACAGCTTAACGTATAATTTGGCAGTTTGCAACCCATAATCGGCGAATTTTTGTAAGTCCAGTTTCTGACCACTGGATATTGCTTCCAAAATCACTTTGAGACGATATATTAGTTGAAAGTCAACACCAGTGATATCAGCTGCTTGCTTTGGGTTGGCAAAAAATCTTCTGCTTGTGTTTCCATCGTTAGTGGTGCCATATCCAGCCTTTGGTACATCAACAATGAGTCCAGTTTGTTCCCTGAAATTGGCTTGTATTTCTTCTTTTTTAATTTTCACAATTTCTTTTTCACTAGCTGATCTTATTTGCCATTTTTGTATGGTTATCTTATACGATAAATGCAATATGCTCTCAAAAAAACGTATTCTAGCGTGCAACACACACAAACCGAAAGTTAAAGCATCTTCATCTACGTTATACTTTATGGTTAAGTCATTAAATTGTTTTGAAGTTGCACCACAAATGTAACACCTCATGGTCGAGCTAGTTGATGTGACAGCGTTGCATACCTTGGCATCAATCATAGTAAACATCATTGTATGTTTAATAATAAAATGTTTTTCTCCTTGCAAAACATCACTGGTTTTTAACGACTTAATGGACTCTTCTATGTAGTTTATTTCAGAGTTGGTTATATCAACAGTCTCTTTAGTGAATCTCATTCTAATAGGCCGGCAGTATCTTGGAGAAGAAGGTGTTGGATTTTGCCAAATTATTTTCTTATTATCTGTACCACAAAATAATTGAAGCGGAACAAAACTACTTATAAAAATATATTTATCAGAGGCATCATTTTGGATCTTCTGCTTAAATTGGTCTTGTTGTGATCCATCAGCACCCCATTTTGATAATAATTGTAATGATATGCACTCTTCTTCATTCAAATTCACCAAAACATCTTCCAAATACATGGTCAAACGTTTCGTAGTATGGTCCAGTAAATCTTGTAAGTTTACTTCAGCACAACTTTCCGTAACTCGATATGATTCTTTGACCGGGTAACAATCTTTTTTTGCTTGTTGAATTACTTTATAATTGGGATAACGTTTCTTATCAGCACTTCTAAAGATTTCATATTGTCGTCTAGAAGCATCGGCTTCTACAAATATAGAAAGAGCCTGTAGTGGCGACAATCGTGGGACTTGCTGTTGTAATGTTGTGTATCCCATTTGATACTTTTTAGCTCGTTTGGGAGATTTTATTAAATTTTCAAGTATTTTGGATGCAGTTCTCTTCCCAGAACTATATAGCGATGTTTGTGTAGCGTGTAATAGTATAGTCTTATCAACAACACCACGAAGTTCTTGAGTCTTTTTGCGTTTGCTTCTCTCGCTGCATTCTTCAAAAGGTTTGAATGGGCGACCCACAGAAATTTGTGAAACTCTTGGAATTTCAAATGTTCCTTGTAACCACTTCTCATTTTTTACCAGGAATGTTTCTTGTCTTCTATACGCTTCTGTCCATTTTGTCTTAAATGCAGCCTTCAATAGCGAAAACTTCTGCTTTAAATCCTTCAGTTGATCGTCGGTGTAATTTTCATATGACAATATGAAATTTTCAAGATAATCTAATTTTGAGTCAAAACTAGGCAGATCTTGATTTTGCATTTTGTCAAAAAGATACTTCCGCGTCATCACATTACATCCCGAGCCTTCTCCCAGTCCTGAAATTAAAAAAAAATTATAGTTAAAGTGAAATAATATTATTATGCTATTTGACCCTGCTCGATTCAAATATGTCTAACACTCATTATCGCAAAAAATCGCAGCCAATTTTAGTGCTTTTAGTATGTTAAACCCTTTGACATTATAATTGTAGTAGAATCACTGCATAGAAATGTGAAGAAATACATCAAAAACCTTTTTGAATTCTGAAAAACCATTTTTTTCTTGAAATATTTTAGTGTTGACTTTTAGTGTCTCAAATTAATAGTAAATCTACATAAATTCACAATAAAAAAATAAAATATATACGTTTTTACCTGTCATACTGGAATCCATATGGTGTTTATAAAAAATCCCACGCACACGAGCAATAGTCACTTTTAAAGTACACGTTTTTGCAAGAGACGCTGCGAATCGATACATGCACTCAAAGCGATGATCAAGTTCCGACTGATCATACGGTTGTCATAGGGTCAGGAAGGGAAGGGGTAGGGCGGGCTTTTGTTCTATGTCTATTCAACTTTATCAGGGACCAGTTTTTTTTTACCTGGGCAGACTTTTGTAAAATCGACTTTTGGCCAGCTAAATCGTAATTTTTCCCCACTGTGCGTCCCATCGTTTTGTAAAAAAAAAAGTATGGACACCACTGCGGCAAGTTTTTTTAAAAATTGACCAAGACTTTCAAAAAAGGACGTCAATTGATTACGGAAAGGTGCGCAGTAAACAAAGGAGCAGAGCGTACTGACTTGCTGAGCACCGGAACTTCTCTACCTGCGTTATTGCTATTCAACAAAGGACATCTATCTATCTCTTTCTAACGTATATCTCTCGGTATTTTTCTCTCTCTCTAATTTCTAAATTGTATCGACTACGCACATGTGCCATTGAAATTCCAAGAAATTGCATTAAAATAATCTTTTTTCGGCACATAGTGAAAGTGATTATTATGAATAAGAACAATAATCAAGAAATTTAGTCTTTCTTAGAAATGGTACCAATATTTTTTTGCGCCTAGTTCTCTTAAAGTATTATACCATTTTGGAATCTTGGTTAGTTGCGTCAATTTTTAAAAATACTTGCCGCAGTGGTGTCCGTACTTTTTTTTTACAAAACGATGAGTGAAAGTCGACTGCAGGTAAAAATATTTAAAAATTTCAAGGAAAAAAAATATTTTGATGGATTTTTTGTAAAATTGCAGGCATTCTGGGAATTTTAAGAGTTGTGGTAGACAGCAGTAGTACTTAGGTGGCCGTTAAAATAAAAACATCAGAAATATCTGAAAAATTGTGGTCGTGGTGATTCAAAATATCATTAAGGGAGTAAATTTTCGAAGAATAACAATTTTTTACCGTAATTTAAAAAAAAATGATATAAATTTTTTTTCTTATTTTTCCTCAAGTAGTTATGCGCAGGTCCACCCTCCAGCGCCCGCTTATCGTTGAATTTTGGGACACGCTGTATATAGTCATAGGAAGAGGTTATTTAATTAAATACATAAGTATATCTGTTATTAATTAAATACATAAGATTATAAACCTTATTACCACAACAAGCTTACAACAGTCAAAGTCTAGATTAATATAATATTGCAACTGTAATTTGTAGGTAACAAAAACACAACATTGTACTGTATAGACATTTATTAACATCTCCCACAACAAGGCAACATGAATTAATGCTGATATGTAAGAAATTATGACGAAGCATTGTATATACTTGGTATGGTTGGAGAGGTAGTACACGGGAAGTCAGTACTTAGTACAAAGCATAATATCATGAACAGTTTTCATTACTTCTTGAGTTGTTTGAGAGATCTCACAAATAATACTGCTAGTGCTGCTACCATTACACTCCCTATGCTGCCAACTATTACTTTCTTATTTCTGGATGTTGGATCTTTAGTTAATGACTGAAACAAAATTACAAATTTAAATAAAAATATCACATTCCTTCATGCTTATTAATGAGGTACTACATGCTATGTTTTATTTAGTACAGTATATAGTAAGTAGCTTACTTTCATTTCTGTATGAAGAGCTATATCCATTGAATTTAAAATACTAGTCATTTCACTTAGCGTTACTAGTGCGATGTCAGAGGCATAGTTATCTCTATAGAGTAAACAGTCGGTTATGTTCTTAGTCTTTTTAACAGCTAATGTGTTAGAAATCACACTCAAATAGATCCTGTATAAGTGTTGTGAACTCTCTTCTAGGATCTCAACTATTTCCATTGGTGTAAGGTCCTGACCCGCAGTAGCCCTGTAAAAATTACATTTTATGTGCATGAGTCAGTAGAACTGTAGGATTCAAATGATACACATAAATTTGCATTTATTGGAAATATCAATAGCTGTACTGAATAAACAAATCTACATTCATAACATACATTTTATGTATATTCAACATATCACCTTCAGTGGAACGGAGCAGTATCCACATTGACTTACAATTATATGGCCATCAGGTCCGCGCTAAAAAGTGTCTGAACTTATAGGGCGTTAAAATCGTATACAGAGCGTCATTCACGCTTTAGTCTTCGTTTGTTCGACTGACAGTGAAGCAAGCAAAATTAGACAGTACTGCGATGACATTACAATTTAAATTCAACATTTTAGCTTTTTCATATTCCTTTACATGTCACTACGTTTAAATAGGTTGACTTGGGACATTTTTTTTGTGGTTTTTGTATTAGACCTGTCATCCATTTATTTGTAAGTCAATGAGTATCCATCAATGTTCAGCTCAGTGTACCGCTGTCTGTAAATGTTTATTCGGTTGGGCCATCTACATTTATGTACGTTAAAATTAAAAATGTTGAGTTTCCATTAACTTACATACGTTCACATGCCTCTTCATAGATAGGCAAGTTCTGTATTTCTGTCAAAATTTTTTTTCTTATTTCTTCATCATTCACTCCAATTTGAATGAGGTCATTATCAGTTAACTCAACTAGAGTATTTTGTCCAATATTAAGTCGCCTGGAAAAGTATGGCTTTGATACACAAGGAAACACGGATTGCAAGAAGCTCTTAGTGTTGTGATTGATGATTGTCTATTAAAAAATTGTATTTAAATATAACTTTATCACAAATAAATATCTTAATACTATATTATAATTTCATGGCTGCAATGTGCTAAGTTTAAGGTGGAAATGATATTTGACGTATTTTATCATTATTGGGATTTCAACCATCGACCTAATGAATGTTTACTCACATAAACTTTGGCCTTATGAGCATTCGATAAATTGTATAATCGATTGTTTGACGCTTCGATCAAACGTGTTCGTACCAACTTAGCAAACCCGGAAAATACACGAGTTTTATTATTATATATTAACTTTTGTTATGACTACGATTTTGTGTCAAAAATCGCGAGACATTCAGTATCATTTCACGACATTCGAGTGAATTGCGAAGGGGATATTTTGAAAAAAAATGGTTGCAACAAGAAGAAAACAAAATTCGTAAAAACCTGAAAATGTCGACATATTTTTCAGCTCCTAACCCAGTCAACAAAGCACTAACAGTGACATCGAAATCTGTTGGATCAATTTTGTTGGTTGTTGGTAATAATTCTTTCATGTTATCCGCATCGTTGTTTTCCATTTTTCGATGGTTTTTGATGATTTTTAAAAATTTTCAAACAAGAGCCGGCAAGGTTTGATTTGACATTGACATAAACAATGATTGACAATTTGACTAGAAAAAAGTAGCAAGCGTCATCTGTCACGTTTCCATTGGGTTTTTATTATATTTTTTTTAAATACATTTTGGTCAATAATTTCTATTCATTTTTTTCCTTTGTTTCTGGTACTAAATCTTTGCATTTGCGAGCGCCACTGCGGGAAGGGAAAGTTTACGAAAAATAATAAAAACGAATATTAATTTGGAAGAAACTATCAGAGAAAGTAAGATTAATATGAAATAACAAGATAACTAACCTATGGGCTCTCACAAATAAACATTGTACGGCGTCGTGACGCGACGCGACGCCGTCGTTTCTTGTTAGGTTCGAAACACACAAGTGCGAATCGGCGCATTGCGAAAACTAAAGTAAATATTGCGAAAACGCAACGCAGAAAAATGCGACGTGAATTGCTGTGATGCGATTTCGTGCGGCAAGGCATCTCACTGCCATGATTCGGGTAACCATTCCTTCGACGATCGTAAACGGTACTGAACGTATATTTTAAACTAGGTAGCGACGTGGAACATAAAAAGTGTGTTGCACTGCTGTTATTGATAAGAATACAATACAAAGAAGATTAACATCGCAGGAATGCGCGATGCGGAGCAATTCGCAAATTCTTGCGTTGTGTCATGCGATTGCGAGCTTGTACATTCGTGTGATGGGACGTCGCACCGCAGTTTTGTATGTCGACCCTTACGTGTATGAGCCCTAACAGAATAGTTGCATATTCCTAATGTTGAGTAATCGAAGAATTTCCATTTTTGCAAATCACATTTTTCAGAAAATTATACATTTTTCCAACATTTTTTCTTTATTTTTCCACTTTTGACCTTGACAACTTGAAGTTACGGAACGAAAACGATGGGGCCAACAACAAGTGGTGGTGGTGTGGTCGTTTTTTCGATGTTGTGAAATAAATTTGTATAGATAAATGCCACTTAGTAGAAAAACGAGATGGAAGGTCGTATTCCAGAACTCAAGTCAGGACTTGAGTATAATTTAAAGCACTGAAAATCATACTCAAGTCCTTGCCATTAGGGTCGTACTTCCAGTGCTTGTAATCATACTCAAGTCTGCTCAAGTCCTGACTTGAACATTGAGTACAGTTCTAGAGTACGACCCGTAAAATGATTTCACAACAGCGAAAACCCCCAACAGCCACACCACCCCCATTTGTTGTTGGCTCCATCATTTTCGTTAAGTAACTTCAACTTTTGACAGGTGTCAACGTCAAATGTGGAAAAATGAGTTAAAAATATTTGAAAATACATAATTTTCTGAAAAATATTATTTGAAAAAAAAAATGGAAATTTTTCCATTACCTAACACCCGGAATGTGCAGCTATTCTATTAGGGCTCATACACTAAAGGACACGACACACCAAACTGCGATGCGACGTCGCATCGCACAAATCTACAAGCTCGCATGACGCAACGCAAGAATTTGCGAATTGCTCCAAAAATGAAAGGAAATATATTCGACCAATATCCGGAAATATATTGATTTTTTTGAAAAATAAGTTTTTTTTTAAATAGACTTTTTTTAGAAATTTAGCAAAAACAATGAAGGGCTTGGAAGTTACAAGTACAGCTTTTACGAAGTTTATTTTAATTTTAAGTATATTACGAAGAAAAAACGAAGAAACAAATAGTGATGAAGAAAGTTAGAACTATATTCCTCTATTTTAAACCACGATACAAAAGACTTTATCCTAAAAATTCCAATAATTACGAATTCAAAGTTTTTGTTCAAAGTGATAGAATATAATGTGATTTAAGTGAAAACATAAATATTGACGCCTGCCGCTTAAACTTATTTAAAAATTCAAATAAATGAACTAAGTTATTTAAGAGAAAGTGAAAATACAATGTAGTAGAACCGCGAATTGAAAATATTTCTGAGGATCCCGATAATTAAACGAAGATGTGGCTCAAAAAACTTGTATCCAAGCCAGAACTCTTAATAAAAAAAATCTATGCAAACAAAAGTAAAAAAGTCTTTTATTTTTTTTAATTATTGCTGGCCATGGAAACAAAGACCTTCAGCCGAAAACATAAACGTTTAATTATATTTCTGTAAATATGGCCACCACTAGACATGGGGAATAGCGTTACATTTCTATCGCCGTGACCGTCGTTCCGGTTCCAAAAAAATCACAGTGATAAATCATCGTGATTTTGTCACGACTGTTACTTCCGTGACCTTGTCACGCCTATAACTTACATCATGGTATACGGTTTTAGCCAGCGGCTTCTTTCTAATACTTATAGCCGCTTTTTATACAATGATTTAAGTTTTTATTCCCTTTGTAATAAGTTTAAATTCCATTCAAAAAGTTGATTTTGTATTTAATGTAATTTTGTTTGTTACTTATTTAACGCGAATCTTTGAATTGTTAAAAATAGCAATAAAGTGTAATGTAATTATATTTCTAGTAGAATACACAAAGTAGATTATACATAAATATAAAATACTAAATCTTCCTATAATAAAACAAATATACAAAAATATTTTACTTTGTTCATAAATAGGTTTATAATAACTGCTGCAGATTTTTTTCATCCGCCCTTTCTATTAGTAATAAGCACCTACGATTCTTGTGAGTGAGCAAAGAAAGTCATCCTATTTCATTCACTCCCATCGCCGAATGGCTCGATTTGAAGAGAACTACAACGAGTGGCGCGCTCAGTCACCACGGAACGGAGATCGCGCATTGTATCAAATACGTATGTCGTAATGTGAGCAACGGGGATAGCTATTGGAACGGAGGAACACCTATGTGACTTTGGAACGTCGTTCCTTCGGAACGAGTCACGGTGGTACTGTTTGACGGCGGATCATCGTGATTTTTTCATCGTGACGATACGGGTATTTTAGTTCGAGATTCGTATAATTTCGCGTTTTAATCTTCGATTAAGGCACAATAGCACTATCCTATTATGCTTTAAACTAGATTTCACAAAATAATTGAAAGTCGAAATAAAAACGACACTTTTCCCTCCAAAAGGCCCAGAGCGAATCTGAAAAAAAAGTCTTTTTTTTTTTAATTTATTGCTGGCCATGGAAACAAAGTCCTTCAGCCGAAAACATAAACGTTTAATTATATTTCTGTAAATATGGCCACCACAAAGAGGATAGGCAATTTGAGGCGGCGTGCTTGGATTGACTCGGGATTCCTTAGAACGGGCCGATACGGGTAGTTTAGTTCGAGATTCGTATAATTTCGCATTTTAATCTTCGATTAAGGCACAATAGCACTATCCTATTGCACTTTAAACTAGATTTCACAAAATAATTGAAAGTCGAAATAAAAACGACACTTTTCCCTCCAAAAGGCCCAGAGCGAATCTGTAAAAAAAGGCTTTTTTTTAATTTATTGCTGGCCATGGAAACAAAGACCTTCAGCCGAAAACATAAACGTTTAATTATATTTCTGTAAATATGGCCACCACAAAGAGGATAGGCAATTTGAGGCGGCGTGTTTGGATTGACTCGGGATTCCTTAGAACGGGCCGATACGGGTATTTTAGTTTGAGATTCGTATAATTTCGCGTTTTAATCTTCGATTAAGGCACAATAGCACTATCCTATTGCACTTTAGATTTCACAAAATAATTGAAAGTCAAAATAAAAACGACACTTTTCCCTCCAAAAGGCCCGGAGCGAATCCCTAAAAAAAGTCTTAAGAACAGTGTTGCCAGGTCTACTGTTTTTCCGTTTTTGGACTACATCTACAGTTCTACTGTTATAAATAGCATCGCTAAAGCGAAAATCAACTGTTTTTTAGGAATTTTCAGATTTTTCGCTTTTCACAACTATTCTTGTCGGCTTTTTAGATTTTGTGACTCTCTGAACATATTGAACATTTGGCGGAGTTTTTGCAAAACATTACAATGTGGTCAAATCGTAGAACATCGTCCTTTCATTTTTTTGGTATGTTTGTTACGGCATATTTGTCATCACAGGTCTAGAAAATGCGGGGAAGTAACATTTATGGTATTAATATCCAAAAATACTATTTGAAAAAACGCACCTTTCTCCTTCGAGTTAAAAAAGAAATTAAAAATGGCGAGTTTTTGTAATTACAGTTTTTTCACAAATTAATTTGAATTTTAAGTATTATTACGTTTTAAGTTTCTTAGGGCCGTATTCCCGAACTCTAGTCAATGCTCAAGTCAGGACTTGAGTCTGATTTCACGCACTGGAATACGACCCTAATGGCAAGGACTTGAGTATGATTTCTAGTACTTTGCGTTGTTGTAAGTTGTTTGCGGAAAGTGCGTGAAAACGGATTCATCCCCAAGTTTGTGGCAAATTGCTTGAGGTAAATATGGCCTTAAAGGTGGAATATTTTCTTCAAATTTAAATGGTACCACTACTGAGGTGCTGCTCCGACGAACTGCCAGAAATCAGCCAAGACGAGATCTTGTTGGCTCTAAAATAGTTCCAAAACGGAAAAGTCCCTTGTGAAGACTAAGTTACTACATAGCTTCTGAAGTCTGGAGGAGTTCCTGTTATAAGTTATGTCTAAGCCCATCCAATTACACAGAGGAGTTAGACAGGAGAATGTCATATCCCCGAAACTGTTTACAGCCGCATTGGAAGACATGTTTAAGACGCTGCTGGAAGGAAAAAGATGGCATTAAATATAAACGGCGAATATCTCTCACGCAATTAGCGACATAGTCCTAATGGTGGAGTCCCTGGAAGAGCTACAATGAATGCTGGACAGCCTAGCATCCGCCTCGCAATTCACCTTCTTGAAGTTGTTTTCGAATATATTTATCTTGGGCAGATTTAGAAACAACTTCGAAAGGAAAGCCAAGAGGAGGATTCAGCTTGACTGGGCAGCGTTTGGTAAACTACGTCGTGTTCTCGTCACCCATACCGCAAGTTTGAAAACAAAGGTTTATAATCAGTGCGTTCTGCCTGTTATGACATACGGAGCCGAGACGTGGACACTCACGTTACGGCTAGTTCACCAGTTGAAAGTCGCTCAGCGAGCTATGGAACGAGCTATACTCGGAGTTTCTTTGAAGGACAAGGTACGGAACGAGGTTATCCGACAGAGAACTAAGGTCGTCGACATAGCTGGTAGAATAAGCAAGCTGAAGTGGTAGTGGGCTGGCCATATCTGTCGAAGAACCGATAAACGTGGGGAAGCGGGTTCTTGAGTGGAGACCACGGCTCGGAAAACATAGTGTAGGACGCCCTGTGGTCAGATAGAGTGACGATTTGCGAAGGGCTGCTGGCAGAAGATGGATGCAACGAGCTGAGGATCGGGCGAAATGGCGCGCATTGGGAGAGACCTATGTCCAGCTGTGGACTACGATAGGCTGTTGAAGCCTACTGTGGTACCCTCTTTCCAACAAAAAAGAATCTTCCAAATCGGTTCATAAATGCCATACTGCCAAATTATCGTACCGGAGTTATCGTGTAAAATACATACAAAAAAACATACGGACGAATTGAGTACCTCCTCCTTTTTTTGAAGTCGGAAAATAAAATTTTTGTTGTCAGATACCAACATAGTAAGATAACATCAAAAACATTACGTGACAATGTTTGAAGAAAATCCATTAAAAGTGTTTCAAACAATGTAAGTTCAGCATCTACCGTTTTTTTTCTCAATCTACTGTTTTATCGGTGTAATATCTTCCGATTTTTTCAGATTTGACCTGGCAACACTGCTGAAGAAAAAATATGGCGGCAAATTTGTGACAGCGCTCCGCTGTGTTTGCGTGCTTGTTTCTTTGTAATTTGTATTGGATTTCTGTGATTGCTTTGTTCTGCGTTGTGACATTCATTCCAAGAAAAATTTTGTAAGGTTTTATGTGAGAATGGATTACCGAACAGCGTTGCGAATGCAACGTAATCTGTACATTAACGTCTACATGTATGCAAGCTGGATATTTGTTATTGGGATTTTCCTCTTTATGAGGGTAAGTTAAGTATTTCATTATTACTTTATTTTATCTATTACCACTGTGGTATGAGGTCATTGCTACGTCTCGTCATATTGCAAGAACAGTTCTATGGTGTCAAACCAAAACACTGCAAGTCCCAGTACATTGTTTAAATTACAGTAAATTGTTGTAATTTCTTTACAAGAATCTTTAGGATATTTATTAGTTTTTCAATGGAAACGTAATTCATATCAATTATAATGGCCGGATAGAATTCTGTACAAAGTAAAATAACTAAAATAAAATAACTATTTTAGTAAATTATAGACATATTTTATGTTGTGACCCTGAAAAATTACAATAAGCGAAAAATCATTTTTGTAGTTTTTACTCAAAATGCTGTTTTTGATAATATACAGTGTATTGTTTGACACGAGAGAGTTGCTTCCTGTATAGGAGCTATCGTAGCTGCAGAGGTGTGTTGTAATTTAGCTATTTTAGGAAAAAAACCTTAATTTTCTTTACTTAATTTTAACTTCGCTACATGTTTTTCTAGTGAAAAAAAAAATTATTTAAAATATGAGTATAAAGAGCATAACAAGTTGAACCTTATAATAGCAGTAAAGGGCACAATTAATTATAATCAGTTGTACCATTGTAATTGAACTTTATACATAATAAAGACACAGTTCCCAACTGATCAATTGTGATCATCCCTAATTACAGTTCAGAGCCAAGGCCAACAAAGAGCTGAAGGATTTTCCTGGCTCTGACAGGTTTTATGTTCTCTGGTTTTGGCCAAAGGACATTAAAACTACATGTGCATTATGAAAAATGTTAAGTTTATACATTACTTTGTTGTCTTTTCAGGTTAACATGCTTGGACATCTTACAAAATACTTGGCAATGACTGTGTTTGCTTTGGTGGCAGCTATTGAGGGAGCTAGACTCTACTTTGGTTACTTTGGCAATGTATCTTGCAGGGTGGGTAAGTTACGTGTTCTATCATGGGTGTGAAGTAAATCTTAACAACTACATAGGTCATCGTTACCATATTATTGAGTTTATTTCTAAATATTTCCATTTTTTCTTCCAGGTTCCGGAAATGGCTGGATTCGTAATGCTGACCGCTATGATGCAGCTTCCTCTTATTAGTTTCTTTTTATTTAATCCTTATCTACTAAGTACGCCAATGGAAATAACCTTGCATGCCCTTTTATGGTTCATGAATTGTGTAGAAATTGTTCTAGGATTTTTGGCTTTGAAGCAGGCGTCTTCATTTGCGAAGAGTGTTTATTTGTCCCACCCCAAAAGATAAGTGAGATGAAATGATGTTTAAGTTATTCCGTTATAATAAGTATTTAATTTTTACCTAATATCTGATGATCTCGTATTTATGTAGAATATGTAAGTAGATTAGGCAATATTGCCAAATAAACTAGTCAGTCTTATAAAAGTTTTTATTATGTTGTTACACAACGCGAACTCACTCATTGGCATAGAATTACTAGCTACTAAGTGAAAATATAAGCAAAGCATTGAAGTAAAAAAAGAGATAACATTCCACATAAACACAAAACTTTGGTGTTCTTTTCCTTATTATTGCACAAAAATTTATACATTAGCACAAACTTCTCTCCACCAAATCCACATGCCTTTAAAATTAAATGAACTAGAGTCACATTTCTTTGGATAAAGCATAAACTAGCTCACAATAGCATTTAATTCAAACATAAATGCACAGCATCCACTAATATTTCTTATTATCATAATAATACTTATCAATATCAAATATACATAATTTTGTGATAAAATTCTCTCTATCCCTAGTGACCGTCAGGATGGCTGGTCGCCAGTCGAATGTGGCACTGGGTGTATATTCAAGAATTGCTACCTATTTGGTACTATTTGCTATTTTTTATATATTCTGAGAAATTAAAAAAACTAATTCACCAGCCATTCTGACGTCAGGATGGCTGGTCGCCACTATGTTCAGCATGAAGGGAGCAGATTTTCCAGAAGTATGTGTTACCAATAATTGCTACCTCTTTGCTACTTTCACGAATTAAAGTTATAAGTTTCTTATCTACATTAGTTAAAAAAATATAACTAATTGAAAATTTTACGAAGAAGTGCCTGTTTAAATTAAAAAAGCAAAAGTTTTTAGTGCTTTATTGCCATAATACAAAGGGCAGGTGTTGGCACTTCTTCATAAAATTTTGAATTGTTTATATTTTTTTAACTAATGTAGATAGGAAGCGTATACATTTAATTCGTGAAAGTAGCAAATAGGTAGCAATTATTGGTAATACATACTTCTGGAAAATCTTCTCCCTTCATGCTGAACAAAGTGGTGACCAGCCATTCCGACATCAGATTGGCTGGTCAATTATTTTTTTAATTTCTCAGAATATATCAATATTACTTAGAAAAGGTAGCAAATAGGTAGCAATTTTTGAATATACACTCAGTGCCAGATGCAACAGGTGACCAGTCATACTGACAGTCACCTATTCCTTTTGAGATTGCATAAAAAGGAACAAATCAATTTCTGTCCTTGTATTTTGAAGGCACTAAAGTGATAAATCATTTATATTTATGTATATAATTAAAAAGATTTCTTTTAAACTATGAGATTATGATGAAATATAGTAAACAAAACAATTTGTTCTGTGGATGAGCCAAATTCCACAAAAATGTATCTTTTTACCGTAAAATATGAATATTTTTGTATTATTACGTTTTGTTTATCTTAGTTTATTGTTAGACTTACAACTATAGCCTCAAAAGCACAGTTTCATTGATGACATTCAAATTGTATTAGTAATAGCAACTGCTACAAATATTTTAGCCTAATATTTAATAAAAAGGGTTATTAAATTTTATTACCATACACAAATGACTAAAATTTGCTTTTTTGTGACAGTTGGATTGGCTATACAGATAAATTTTGCTTAAAAAAGTGAGAATATTAAATTAGTAGTGTCATTTGGATTCTCCAAATAGACTATTATTTTCCTTGAAACAGTCATCAATTTTACATCTAACTAAATGCAATTTGATATTATAGTTTGTTAATTTGGGTTCAAACTCTTTGCCATCTTCAACATCCAAGGCTTTGAGCATTTGTGGTAGGGTGGGGGACATTTTGCAGATAAACTGTAATGAGAAAAAATGTTGATTAGAACAGACATTTATATGATAATTTTTAATGTTTTTTAAAACTAGGTGGAATGTTGATTCCCTATTGAAGCACAGACGTGTTTCTTAATTTTTTCCACAATTCTGCACATTTCACAATAACTTATTTTTCCCATCGATTGTATGCAGTGTCCTTTGACTGGTCACAGATTGAAATTCAATATATGAGCTTTGTTAATTTCAAATTTCATGCCTATCGGTTGAGGAAAGGCCAAGTAATTTCATTTGTAGATTGTGCAATTTGAGCAGATGCCAGGATAGCTTTGTTTGGTGCTCTTAGATTATACAACATTATGAGCAATGTCTAAGGAAAAAACAATTACACTTACAGTGAAAATTTGCTGTGTTACCCAGTTGTGATATTTCTTCACAGAACCTTCATAAGCTACTGAAAAGATCTTTTTCATTCCTGAGTCATGATTATTCAATTTCAGACAGGCAATTATTTCTTGAAAAACTAACTCGAAGAATAACAATGCCCTGTAACAAAATAAATTGAAATTATAACAAATGAAAAATCCATTTTAAAAAACTAGGATTATTTTTATACATATTACATTCAGCAGTTTCAGAGGATAACTGAGGAGCATCAAAGCAAGAACCACATCACATTTTGATATGTTCTTCTTTTTTAATTCCAAATGGTAGTTCTTGTACAGACGGCAGAAACTACATATTGATGGACCTTGTTTGTTGTACTGGACAATATATTCAAACAAAAGTGTATAGATCGATGTAATGTTGACTGTACATTTATTTTAATAATTTATGCAATCTGAACACATTGCGACATATCCTTTCATTGAGACTAGACAAAATAAGAATCAAAATTTATCAGTTTTTGTGTCGAAGCTCCCTCAAATATATACCTGTTAAGCCATAATACACTTTCATGCCCACAGTTTCCTTTTGTGGATTCTGTAATCATTAATTCCAGTAAACATGTATTTTTATCGAAGTTGTAGAATTTCCTTATTTTCTGAAACAATAACATCCTTATTAGACGGGAAGGTGATCTCACATTGCCTATTCTAATGACAAATTCTTGCTTAAGTGTGCATAAATTAGACATAATATGAGATAAAACTTACATCAATATTTCCTTGCATATCATATTTTACTGGTGCAAATAATGTTCCTAAGCGCTCTGCAATATAAAAAAGGATACTGTTGGTGTGATGTTAAAAAAGAATTACAATCTATAATTAGTAAATAGTTGATTACGTCATTATTAACATACCTACTAGTGAGACTAACCCCGAAGATGCCTCAAGGAATTGGACCATGTTAATTCTTCCATTGATTACAGGAGGGAAATGGCTAAGTGTGTCATAAAAATTGTGTTCATCTTCTGCCTTCGAAGTGGTTGCCATTATGTTGCATTTATTATTAACTTTGTATGTACAAAATATCACACATCAACATTACTTATTTACCAGAGGTAACGGAAAATACTGATTTAAAATAACACAATAATTTTTATGTCCCACTTCGATTCGTCGCTGACATTTGTTTGTTTTGACTGTCTGACGTTGACTTAAGTTTGACATTGACAGCTCGCGATTTTGTGGCTTAGATACTTATTGTGGGATATTTACAAGTAGAATACGGCTTTATTACATTTTTTTTAATATTTACGATTATTATAATGATGCTTAATAAATATAAATAAATAATTTACATTGCATGTACGCTCTTTCTAAGACTAATTAATTGTATTTCTTTTAAATTATAGACTTATTTCAATTTTTTTTACTTTATCTCGCTCACTTTATTGTCCATATTTCAGTTACACGATATTTTCATATTCAATACGAAAATGTTTGTTTTAACACATTTCCTAAATCATCTTCTACAACTATGGTTAACACTTTGGTCTTGGGCGAAAATGTGAAAGGTACTAAAAATCTTTTTTCTGGTATGGGATCAGTAAACTCGTAAGAATCGAGAACCATTCCATTTGAGTCGTCTCTTACTTCGACTATTCTTATTCCAGCGGTAGATATAATCATCATTTTATTTTTATCAAACTTTAAGTATCTCGTAATAGCTTGCCTTTCTCTACCGTACTCGTTATTAAACCATCGGTGATAAGATAGTAATACTGCACAATTTCTCGTCCAATATATGGAATCATTTCCATTTGTTCGGTTAATATTCCTTTTAGAGTCTGACATTTTATTCGTTATATTTGAATACACACTGGATGGTCTAGTTATGGGTGTAACATTAGGATTCCTTCTTACTATTTCAGATTTAGACATGGAGGCAAAATTTCCCAAGGTAGTTTTGCTTCTTGGCCCAAGTACACGCAATGGTTCTGCGACATTCATCGTTACACTTATATTACGTTGTAGTGCGACTGTAGAATGCTGCACCGGTTTGCCACTGTAGTTGTTCATATTATCTCTAACGATAGATGCTTTCTTCTCTCCAACAACAAAGACGCGATCGATATTATCGAAACCTCTCCCCATGATCCCATCTTTAGTATGTCCAAGATCAAAAGTGTGTCCTAGTTCATGAAAAACCGATCCTAATGTTGTCGCAAAACATCCAGCTAGCGTCCCGCGATATCCACTATCATCCATAAAACGTTTAGAGTTGACCAGTGATGTGTCAGAGAATTTAGATACTATATCATTCACGTTTGTGGGCCAAGTATACAAGCAAGCAGTTCCAAACAAAGCTAAGCCTCCCCCGCCCAATGCAGCATAAGCTTCAGTAAGATTGACAATCTCGTCATGCGTCATAGGTTTATCTATGTCGGTACCTTTAAATCGTGTGCAAGAAATAAATCCTAAGAATTTTCTTTCATTACTGCCCAATTCTGAAAGCATGAGTTCTCTACCAAAGTGTGCCCACAAATCGGCTTGTTTCATTTTTCTCGCTTTGTTTACGTTTAAAGTGCTTCTGAAAATAATACATTCTGGTTTTTTAGGATTCACCTCATGCTCCAATTGAAAAGTTTTTCGTCCGACACCACTCTCAAAAAGTTTTTCTGCTGTAATACTTTGAATTAACTTCGAACCAATCACAATTCGAGCAGAAGCGCTTTCAATAGAATTGTCTATATCAGGTGGACATTGGAAGCATCCATCGTGGCCTTGGCAAATTATGTATACTGGGGTAACTCTGAAGTTTGTTTTTCTAGGCGTATAATTAAGAAGCAGCGTTCTTCGTTGTTGGTCCGCGTATTCAAGTTCAATTATGTTGTCGCCTTTATCCAATTCCACAATCACTTTAAATTCTCCATTGTGCACATTCCATTGCGATTTTCGAGTCAATCCAGATTGCGTCACGGCACACCATAACTTATCGTGATTGTTTGAGTTACCTCTTGTTATTAATCCTTTTATAAGAACCAGTGCATAGTTGACTATTTCTCCATGTTGAAAATTTGTTACAAAGATGGAAGAATTGTGTTCATTTTTGTTTTCTTCACTGATCCTGTTATCCATTACCTGAAACGTATAACAGACCTTGACTTAATGATATGACCTTGATAATTTGCAACCCTGTATTTAATGATGTACTTATTTTTATTCGTTTAGTTGTCAGTACCACTGTAATTGTCTGATTAAAGTATTTAAATTCACTGATTACAATTAACTCTGATTATGATCAAGTGCTACATTATTTAGTGTTAGTGGGGCATTTTATTTTTGTATCATCTGTATTGTAAAGGTCGCGTCAGCTTCACACATAATGGCAGTGACTCACCATGATGCGGTTAGCGAGGAGCGCGCGGAGCCGGCGCGGCGAGAGGACTGCGGGCGCGGGCGGTGCGGCGAGGCGACGAGGCGACAACTCGCCGCCATGCGGCAGTTCCTCCTCACTTCCCACTTAGCAGAACGTACGTGCGGATGGTGTGCGCATGCCCGCCGATGCAGACCGGTGGCGGCGCGCCCCGGTAACGATTGCGCCCACCAGACAGGTACGCGACAGTCGCGACTGGCTGTCTCCTCCGGCAGGAGGGAAATTTGAACACTGCGGCCACTGAATGCGCCACTTATATCTCTATCATAACAATGTTTTGGTTTACTATTGCGTCAGGAGGTAATAGCCTACTTTCTTTATTATGAGACGTTAATAAACGTAAACGACGTTAGATAAAAGTCATTAATACATCACAACAATTCCTTTAAACAAGATTAAACATAATTAATTTAATCACTTAACCATGTAGACGTATTCTTCGGATTTAGTTGCTTTGTTTTCAAAAATATTTATAAGTATATATATATACATAAAACATATATATATATATATATATATATACATACATACATACACACACACACATATATATATATATTTACATGCAGGAATCCTGAGTTCTGCTTGTGTATTTGGTCCAACAAGTCTCCAATTAGAGTAGGCAACAAAATTTTTCGCCCGTCGGGACAGGCTAAAACGTCTAATCTGAGATAAACCAAGGGACAGTTAAGTAGCCGGTCCAATCCACCTCTACAATACAATTTATTATTTTTATCCCTCCATCCACTACCGATATACACTTTATTAAATATTCTTTTGTTCATTCTAAAATTATGGTTCCAATTTATGTATTAAAAGTGTGTATATGTATGTGTATACGGGTGGCTGACAGGAAACTTTGGAAAAGTTTGTAAGTATGGATTTTAAAATGACATCTTCATCTTCAAAATTACGATTTTTTTAAATTGTAACCAACGCAATCTAATAAAGCTCATAAAACTAAACTTCTAGTTTAAATATTTCAAAAATATGTAGTACCAAAACCCTTAAATATGTGTAAAAATGGCACTTCTGAAGTAATCTCGGTCGACACAACGATATACATAGGTACTTACAATTAAGTTTTCGAAATTACTTCATGATACATTATGTGCGCCTAACAAAACGTGTGGTTATCGGGCGTTTTGTTGAGTGAAGTATTAAAGATTGGTAAGGCGCAAAATAGTCTTTACATTATTTCCAATCCGTTACCAGTTCGGTTTTTGTTATGCTAACTAAGAAAATCTACTAACACTGTGAGTTTTTGCGTTAGTGTTCCATGTATCGGTTAAAGGGTTCTTGGAAATGCGTTAAAATATTGATACAGCCAGTGGCGGCATTTGCATTGCAGTCATGGCCGCCCTAGGCCCCAGACCATGTAGTCAGTACCAGCCGCCCCTTTCTCAGCACGCATCATATACTTATAGACTACATAATGAATTTACTTTATTACCAACTTTTATCGAAGTCGATTCAGAAATATAGTTAACTATAATAGCTGCTAGTTTTTAATATTTTCGGATGTTTCATACATAACATATCAATCCTGACACAACTCTCGAGCCTCACATACATCAACTACCCTTTTCATACAACTTCTTTTATTCTTGTCACTTCGGATCCCAGCCTTTTTGAGGACATCACTGATCTGATCAATGAATTCCTTCTGAGACGTCCTCTTAAAAGCCTCCTATCCAGATTCGCATCATAAAGCTGTTTGGTAATTCTTCTTATATCCATCGGCTCTACATGCCCAAACCACCTTAACATTCCTTTCTCTATTCTAGTCACTACATCCTCTTAAGCCACGTCTTTAACGTATATTTGTTTTGTTCACTCAACTTTATTCCACAAATTTTCCTCAAAGATCTCATCTCCACTGCATTAATTCTACTTTCATGCTTCTTCTGCCATACCCAACTCTCACTACCAACGGAGGTTTCAGATTTAAATGAAACACTTAAAACGGTTTTAGGTGTTTAGTCAGTGAATTTTTTGTCACAATTGGCCGCCCCTGAAATCTGAGCGCCCTACGCCCGGGCCTAACTCGGCCTTAGGGCAAATCCGCCACTGGATACACTCGATGTAGGACTCTCCAACTTGACTCTACAAATAAATTTTAGTTAAATAACGGGCAGATACTCTAGATAGTAGATTGTCTTATATCTTATATTATGTAATAATATGATATTTGCTATGTTTTGTTGTGGTATATTTTTCCAGATTTCTCTCGCCCATATTCCTAAGGTAAAGATATTAAAACATAAAAGTTAGTCTTAAAACTATGATTACTAATGGTTAATTAGCGGAAAAAATAGTCACATCAAGAATACCAAAAGAGAATTAGTGATTGTTGTATTGTTATCATATACGAGACAATCAGTCAATGTGTTGTTATCATAATAACACGTGGCGATAAAAAAAACACTGATTACCTCAAGCTCAATCTGGAACAGGTTTTCGTATAAAATTTGGATTTTGGTGTTATAATATTTATTATAATATTTGGTAGTAATTTCGAAACCTCTTTGAAAGAGCTTTATTGTATTATTTTTGTAACAACAACAAAGGTTTCATTGGTTTTGTATTGATTAATACATGAAGTAATAATAATAAATTGATTTCTTTATTATATTATGATTGTAAGTCGTATGATTACAAGTCGGTGTACGCGACAACTATGTTTCTAGACAGGATTGGGGTCGGTAGTTCGATATGTGACCAAGCACAACGGACAACGATATTGTTGAAGCGCGAGGCGGGCAAACAGGCATGCAGGCAGATCGCAGGAAGCCGGCATCGGCAGGGCAGTCGGCAGTAGCCAGTCATTGTCCCACTGAACGCTGCACTTTCCCTTTTATCGGCGAACGAACCCGGCCCATTACTACCGCACTCACGCGGTTACACCATCACCACTACAGTTTTGGCTGCGTTCGTCGCACCGGTATGCATACTAATTGTATTATATTTTAGGGTTGTGTTTAGATTTCACCATTCAGCTACATCGCACTGCCGTTGTGGCTTTGAATTATTCATAAGATGCCTCAACTGTTGTTAAGTTGAGTTATTTAGGTATGATGATTGATAACATTAATAGAATTAGAATTAAAAATTGACATATAGGAAACCTAAATTTTTGTACCAATTGTAAGAGATGCCATAAGAGAAAGATTAGCTGGTAGAAATCCCTGTATGGGATAGGTTCGTTTTTGTACACTAACGTTTTAAATTCTTTGTTAAAATTTATAATTTGTTTTGTTGTACTAAAGTTTTTACATACATACATACGACATTAATTATTGTCAGCTGAGGGAAACGTAGTAAAATTTCTTGTACAAAAATCCTATACATATGTATAAAGGAATGTATCAGCGCAAAAAGTATTTATATTTTTTATTTTTTTACAATATTACTTGTACATGTATATGATACGAAAAGAACACAATTATTTTGTTTGGATGCTATTTTCATGTATAAAAAATATTAATTATTCGAAACGATATAGATCCTAGAGGGTGCATAAATAAAAGCGAAAACAAAAATAATAATAAAAACAAAACATAATTACTACTCAATGCCAAACATACACTATGCAAAAACTACCGTCTTAAATACGTGGAAATCAACGTTAGAAGTAATTCCACCACCTAATTGACTACCAAAGACTGCTGAGAGGCTCTGGCCACATAGAGGCGGAGCGTTCGGGGTGCGGGAATTTTTGTAATGTCCGAGTTCCCTGCTACATGGAAACCGACAGCGCGGCGGATTGGCGAGTGCCGTCAGGGGCCGAGCGCCTATGGCGGACTGGGTGCGGGCCGAGCACGTGACGAACGCGAGGCGGGTGCGAGCGTAGGAGTTGTGATCCATTGGGTTCCATGCAACCGCCCATACAGAGCGGTAGCAGTGGCGCTGGGTCCAGGAGTGGGAATCTAGCGGGGGCGGATATTGTATTTTTTTTACTATTATATATATATAATATTATATTATATATATAATAGTAAAAATTATATAATACATAATATTTTGAAAATTCTGATGAATGTAAATAAAAATATTTATTAAGTTTCAATATGAATTCCACAGAATTTTCTTTTGCGTTGCTTCCGTAACGCTTATAAAAGCAAAACACACACCGACAGCCATGTGGCGCTTTCTGTCTGGCTTGAGCTTAATACGCACATACCATAACTATTTTTTTCGGCAAAAACATTTATATGCGATTTAAGATCTGAAAAAACTTTTGAGTATTTGTAATATGTAGCAAAGCAGTCGTCAACACCTAGGAACTCGTCGGATACTTAGGTAACATTAGTGTTTTCTGTGGGTCGTAGGTACTAATTGCAATCGCAATCCGAAAATTCTTCACATCAATATTTGTATTAGAACATCCATAATGTACTCGAGTCACAACACTTCTTGTGATAATACCTTTTTAACTGATGTTTTTGGTTACCCAAATATAAGTTTATGAAGGCTATATTTTTTATTATTACGTAAGGCGCACATTTTAATAAGGATGATAGGTTTTTACGTCTTGTGTAAGTAGCTTTCAATCGCGATTTTATGCATAAAAGGAAAAATATTCCACTATAATATCTTTAAATTAATTCCAAACAGCAAATTTTAAAACCGCAAATTATAATTTATTGGCGAAATTGTGAAATTTCTATTTGGGGCAAAAGTCACTGCGGGTTTTAAATTGGCGACATCATCATCATCACATTTAGAAATCAAGAGCTTTATTTTTTGTAGGAATTCCGCAATGTAATCTTAGATTAACGTAATAATAATAATATTAATGAAATGCCTGTCCAGGGAATACCCTTTACTATAAATATCAAAGCAATGAAATTAATTCTGGAGCACTATCTAGAAAACACAAACCTCTAGGTCATCAATGTTGAAAAATTCCTCGTATAAATTGGTCCAACTGGGACCGAACCCAAGATCTTTTCTTTCTCACAATGCTAATCGCTGGGCCACCGAGATAGTAAAATATTGTAGAGCTACCACATTGGTAGTAGTAACGAGTATTTAGTCAGTTATTTTTAATTGAATAAT